CTTTCTGGCTTCCTCACCAGGCTGGTAGGAGGACCATCGTCTCCAACACAGTGTCAAGCAGCAGCTGGAATGGGGCATTCTCAAAATGGTGGTTCAGGAGGAGAAGACGTCAAGAGACAGTGGGAGGGGGAGAGGGAGGGTCAGTATCAGGGCTTCCAGAGAGTGGGGGTGGCTATCTATCAGGAAGAAGACCCCCGCTACGTCACGTTCTGCTTTAGTATCAGGGCACCTTCCTTGTTTACATCAGCTACAACTGATGTAAACAGAGCCTGGAGGTGCAGCAGCCTGGAGGTGCAGCAGCCTGAAAGGTCGCACAGAGATCTGCATGTACCAAGATCAAGTCTAGGCCAAGGTGACACCACACAGCTGAACATTTGGTCGAAGCAAACTACACAAGTGACAACATGAGGGACCTACCAAACTTCCCCTAGACGGGATTCTTGCACTTAAACATCAAACACTTCTGCCCTGGAGGACAGTCCCAGTCATTATGGCAATGATGTTGAGGATGTTGAGGATGTTGATGGCCTTGGGGACTCTTCCCACGTTTTTCTGCAAAATAGAAGATCCCAAGGCTGAGAGATTCCTCTGGAGTTTGCATCCCAGATCAAGCAAGATCCCATCTCTGGACCTTTCAGGACCCAAAACATCTCCACACATCCAGATGAAATGTTCCCAGTGGACCATCTGCCCCCCCCCCCCGTCAATGTCCCCACCAAGCCCAGCCATTTCCTCCTGGGGTCAACCTCTCAGGACTCTGGGCTGGACTTATAACGGGGCTCCTCTGCCTGAACTCAGGATGCTGGGGGTGCAAATGCGCCCCCCTCCGTTTCTACCACAGAGGAAGCTTGTTCTCCTTGTGGGTCCATCTCGGTCTGCCTTCCCCTCAGGAAGGAATTCCAGGAAATGAGAGGCAGAGTTTTCTTCTGTTGGCTCTACATTCCCACAGCACCCTCCCCAACCCAGAGGGGGCAAGATAGCCCTCTCCCCCAGGAAGAAAATGATATCCCAATCAAGCAGGATATCCCATCTTCTTTCATCAGTTGGTTGAACAAGAGGTGTGGAATCTGAATAAAATGTTTTCAAGAAAACCACCAAGCTCAGAGAGCACCAAGGACCCCACAATCCTCTTCCTCCTCCTCCTCTCCTCCTCCTCCTCCTCCTCCACCCCTCCCCCTGCCACTCAACTGCCTTCTACCACTGATGAGTTTAGCTAGTTGTGTAATGAAAGGTGTGCAAGAAAACCACCAAGCTCAGAGAGCACCAAGGACCCCACAATCCTCCTCCCCCTCCAACTCAACTGCCTTCTACCACTGATGAGGATAGCTGGTTGTGTAATGAAAGGTGTGCAAGAGCACCAAGGACACCACAGTCTTCCTCCTCCCCCTCCCCCTTTCTTCTAGCGCTGATGAGGTTAGTTAGTTGTGTAATGAAAGGTGTGCAAGAAAACTGCCAAGCTGAGAGAGCATCAAGGACTCCTCAGTTCAACCCAGGGCTACAAATACTCTCTTCCCTCTTTGCCCCATTTACTCCATGGGGCCTCCTGGCCTCTGTTTCCAAACCCATCTCCCAGGGCAGTTGAAGTTCTGTCTTGTGAAGTTTAAGGAGTTTCCGTTGGGTCTTCCTACTGCTATCAAAGGATTCTCATCACCCCAGGGTGCCCCTCCCTCTCTGCCCACCTATTAACTAACCCTGGTTAAGGTGGAGCAAGGAGAGATGAAGGGACAAAGAATAAAAAAAATACCCCAAGGAGGTAGGAGAAGCTGCTGGGTACCAACCCCTCCTATTTATATTTGCATGGGGCAAATCAAATCCAAAATTACCTCATTACGAGAAGAAATGAGTGGAAGGACAATCACTTAAATATGAGCTAGCAGTGTGCTGCAGCTGTGAAAATAGCCAACACAGTGCTGGGCTGCATTAACAGAGGGATAGAATCAAGATCAGGTGAAGTGTTAATACTACTTTACAAGGCCTTAGTAAGGCCACACTTGGAATCCTGCATCCAGTTTTGGTCACCACGATGTAAAAAAGATGCTGAGACTCTAGAAAGAGTACAGAGAAGAGCAACAAAGATGATCAGGGGACTGGAGGCCAAAACATATAAGGAACTGCGGCTGGAATTGGGTAGGTCCAGTTTAATGAAGAGAAGGACGAGGGAGGACATGATAGCAGTGTTCCAATATCTTAGGGGCTGCCCCAAAGAAGAGGGAGTCAAGCTATTCTCCAAAGCGCCTGAAGGCAGGAGAAGAAGCAACGGTTGGAAACTGACCAAAGAGAGAAGCAACCTGGAACTAAGGAGAAACTTCCTGACAGTTAGAACAATTAACCAGGGGAACAACCTGCCTCCAGAAGCGGTGAATGCTCCAACACTGGAAGTTTTTAAGAAGAGACTGGACAGCCATTTGTCTGGAATGGTGTAGGGTTTCCTGCCTGAGCAGGGGGTTGGACTCAATGACCTCCAAGGTCCCTTCCAACTTTATTATTATTATTATTATTATTATTATTATTATTATTATTATTATTATTATTATTATTATTATTATTATTATTATTATTATTATTATTATTATTATTGTGGGGTTCCTCAGGGGTCGGTCCTCTCTCCTCTTCTGTTCAATATTTATGTGAAGCCGCTGGGGGAGATCATCCGTGGCTTTGGGGTGGATTTCCATCAGTACGCTGATGACACGCAGCTGTACATTTCCACCCCAGGCCACCCCAACGATGCCCTTGACGTGATGGCCCGTTGCCTGGAGGCCGTAAGGGTCTGG